CCATTGAAAAGAAAAAGACTAAAAATATCCATGAAGTCCATTCAAACAGATAAGAACTAATGTTTAAAAGGCTGGGTGCACAAACACCAACAAAAAAGGTCACAAAGCAAATGCCCAACATTTGTGGTGTTTCTCTCTTGCGTCCATGCTTGCATACCCATTAATTCAACAAGAGTAACTACTAACTAGCTCTTCTCTGTTATTCCAAAACTGCTTTTTATAAAAATGCTAGAACTGTGTAACGAGAAAAATGTGCTCAATACTCAATCTGATTGGTTGTAAGAAAACAAATTAAACAATATATTATTTGGTTAAACAACTGCTACCATTTGTTATCACTCCATGTCTGGCCTGAAGTCAGTGTTTGTCATATGTATGCAGATACGTACACAAAAATACACAAGAACACCACGCCACACATAGCAAAGTTAAAGGTCATTTATTTTTTGAAGTAAGGTAACGAAATGCAGAACAGTTTTGTGCTCGTGTCCCTCTTTAAAAACACTTTCCAAGCGGATCACTCGCAAGTATTGTTTACAAGTTGACAAGTAAGCTAATCAATGCGCCCGGTAATGAGTGAGAATGTCTCGTGAAGAGGGGCAAAGCTGACACGGAAAAAGTCTCTAGCACAGCAAGAGTGTGCTAAAATGCTTTCCTCAGAACACTACATGCAGACCTGCCTACAGGGCTGGCAACAACACACATATCCATAACATTACCAATAGAAGGCTAAAAACACAATAAAAAGACACGACCAGCTTGATGGAATTGTAAAAACACTAAAACAACTAGCAAAGCTTCCACAGAAATAGGAAGAGTACTGCTGTTGAAAGTTTTGAAGTGCATTAAATGAACACTCAATAAAAAGCCTGTGCACTTACATATAGTGTAAATATGATAAATATATAGTTTAAAAGCATTACTGCTTATCACACAATGAGAGATAAAGGATTAGCTTTCTGCAGCAACTTGAACACATGCTTTAGTAGCTAAAACCACATAAAAAAAAGAAAGTTATGAAAGAGCAGGCCAGTGGCTAAATGTCGCATAAGCTACGGTTGTGCAGAGCACCCGCTTCGAAAAGTAAACTCTTGCGTGCATTCATGAAGAGATGGAATGCAAAAGAGCTTAGTTCAGTGTGGATAGATTGTGTTGTCTAAATTCCACACAGATAACAATGTGCCTCAAATATATTACTTATCCGCGATAAACATGACTTTTAAAAAGATTTTTCAGCAGCGTAGACATCTGTAGCGTGCCAACTTGCACCTTTCTTTCCGGCAGGGAAATCACAACGAACGTCCAGAAAGAAAGTCAACGTCACACACAGACTGCTCCATTCGATAACCGCATTTTGATTAGAGCTTGATGATTAGAACACGAGCATATGAAAAGGTGAAATTGTCAGCTGCTGAACAGATAAGTCATTATCATAATCTGCTGATCTCTATTAATGAGCATGAAGCTGCATCATTGACATTAAAGGACGACTTCAACAACGTTGTGGCCTGACCACAAACAGTAATACATTATAATTAGCATTGCCGCGAAGCCACATATGTCTCCGCACACCTCGATCAGCAACTGCAATCTCTGGTAACAAGCTTCTTTCTTTGTTTTTTTTTCTTGGACCCAGAATTTCTATGCTGCAATGCTCCGTTAACACATTATGATTTCATATGTGGATCAGTCTTCCTGTGTGTAGACAACAAACACATGACATCACTGGACGCAATCACATGCCGGATTTCTTAAAACTTGTAATGCGTTGTAACATTCACCATGTAACAAACACATCTTTACTTTGTGAACTTGGACATTTTATGTTGATCGAAACAAACTTACACATGAAATAATCTTTTTTTTTGAAAGAGTACTGACATGTTTTAAAAGTTTAGTACAAAGCATACCATGCGTTTATGAACTGTAAAAAGACAATTTCGCTAGCTTGAAAGTTGGAAAACGAGTAAAAGATATCTCCTCGACTTGGTACTAAAGGTGGACCCAAAACATCATACCTGCCGCAAGCAATGGCATCATGACACCATGACATGAGCGAAATTAGTTCATGCCATGTAGCTGCACAGTTAGGTATTATGATATTATTCCTGACAAAAGTAATCAAAGTGATTTGCTCTGGTTAAACTTTCAGCGACGACAGGAATCGGGCAAGCTAATGTGTGAGAATTTCATGACACGTCAGCGTTCCCTGTACAGAGAGTGAAGCTGCTTCATAGAAACTAATAATATGTATGTTATGATAAATAATTTAAGGGCACTTTGATCCTTGCCAATATTCTCGTTCTAGAATCGACAGGGTCGGAACTTTCGTTTAGTTTAAAAAGCGAAGCCATAAAAGTCGCATCACTACTTTTTTAAAAACCATCCAACTACACACTTACTATACACATTTTCACAAAGCTCATGCACGAACAGGCAAATATCAAGTGCACAGATGCTGGACAACAATGACAGTCTTTGAAATGCAAAGCTGGCACAACGAACACTCTGTCAACAGGATACAAAAACCACAGTCACAACAAGTTCAAGAACAAAACACTCAATGTCTCTATGCAATGCTGAAGACTGCAAGCAGAAAATTTGGTCGAAAACTGTTTAAGCAACTTTGAACACATTGCACTATGAAAACGGCAAGTGCAAGAGTAGCGAGAGTTTTGTGAACTCTGCCTAACCTTCCAAATATATACCTCAAAATTTCGGTAGCGAAAATATATGACCTTGAAATATGGCTCTTGGGTTGTTAAGGCACATGTATCACAACCTGGTAAACAGCCAATCACATGCACAGGACGTTTACTCACTAGCCATAAAAAGCTGTCACATGAAAGGTCAACGAACATGTCTAGCATGTCATTCATGTTGTCTAGCTGCATGCTGGAATGTATATATTAAAACATGTAATTATGTGCAAAATGATTAACATCGCCAAGTTACTGTGCAACGTTCACTATGAAAACAGCGTGCCCTGCATTAACTCAAAGATAGACCTTCCATTAACTAGCAATGCACAGAGCATCAAATAGCTCAAATAGACGCCAATTCAATGTGTTGACGAGACATTCTGTGTGAACCCATAGTGTTTTTATAGCACAAAACGACACCGCAAGACAGAATTAAGACAGGACAAAGTGCAACTTTTTTCCTGCATTAACCTACACTAGATCAACAAAGTGCATTCATGATATTGCATTTGAAAAAGAAAATTCAGGGCTAAAGAAGGTTAAAGAAGAAACACTAATGCATTGCGCACCTAATGACTGTGTGAAAAAATCTCCCAATATTTCCCGGGCAGTGGTAACACGGATTTTTTTTCTTTAAATAGTGAACTGTCTAAATAAAGTTTGACATTTGCACTTTTTGTAGTGCAGAACCAAGAGAGCCCACATCGGTTGACAGGGATCTCCCATGTTCTTGAAGATGCTTATTAAAACAGTGGCCTGATTGATTTGCACACACTTTCCCAAAAGAGTGGAATCTTGTAGACCACACCTACACTGCATTCTACAAACTTCAGGTGGTTCTTTCCATGTTGCTGTTTTCTTATTTTCTTCACAGTTATGCTTGCACAACACTCAGTCTCCAGGAGGCAAAAAAATACTATTGGGTTTTGGTACCTAATGGCCTCATCAAGTTTGTGAGCCACGATTGATTGATATGTGGGGTTTAACGCTCCAAAACCACCATACGATTATGAGAGACGCCGTAGTGGGGGGTTCCGAAAATTTCGACCTCCTGTGGTTCTTTAAAGTGCACCCAACTCTGAGCACACAAGATTGTGAGCCACTATGTGACAATGGGACACTACCGGCCTGCTCTTCTGTGCATCACTGTTACTTTCCTGGTGCTTGCCTTTTAGGCTGACACGTGAGTTTAATGTCCCAAAACTACCATATGATTATGAGAGACACTGTAGTGAAGGGCTCCGGAAACTTGGAATACCCGGGGTTCTTCAGCGTGCACCCATATCTGAGTACATGGGCCTACAACATATCCGCCTCTGTCCGAAATGCAGCCGCCACAGCCGGGATTCAATTGCGCAATCTGCGGGTCAGCAGCCGAGTACCTTAGCCACTAGACCACCACGGCAGGGCACTTGCCTTTTAGGTTCCGAAGCGAAACCTAAGACCGACATCACTACCACACTTCGGTAATGCGCATACTGCAACCTCTTCCACTGTTCACTAAAGCTCTTGTTCATAACAATGACATAAGAATGAGATGTTTCACAATATTTGAGTGCGCAGACTCGCAAGACCCTTTCGTGCACAAGGAGAGTACATCCAGCAGGCCTGACCTGCTTGTAAGAACAATTGTAGATCTAGAAACTGCGGCTAATCGTCCCTTGTGAGCTCATCACGCCCATTTGTCTTCTCGCCTCTCGTTTTCTCGTCTATCGTATGCACACGGAAATGTTTACAAGAATGTCCTCAAACCAACTCGTTGAACTTTCCATACTATTACAATATATTTCATGTGTGAAAACTAGACCTTTGCCACTGTGACAAAACTATTGTAGTTTGTCTTATTACAACGAAGAAATCATCAACATACGTAATGTTTCTGAACCAGGCCATTTTCTAAAGCACTTTAATAGCGTGGTAAACAAAAGATTGACAAAATATTAAAAAGCGCAGGCGCCACACGGGAACCAACAGAGCGCTTCGTCTTGTCTAGTGTTTTGTGGCATCGTTTTGTGCTAAAAAAGCAGCAGCGAGTATAAATTAAAAAATTGCTTTCAAACACCTGGCTACCCTACAAGACCAGATGAGATGGCAGCAGTGTATATAAAATGAGCAAATGATGGGGTTACGGCAGATGCATGTGTGCCTTCGAGTTACAGAGAGAACAAAAAAAAAGAGGGTCACCTAATAAACGCAATAGCTGCAAAAGATCCGAAGTTTTCTTGTGCTTCCTTCAACACTTCGCAGGTTGTTCAGGCCTCCTCCTTCCAAGTTTCTCAGAACTTCTTCAAGGCGAGATTCATGTCCTTGTTCTGTCGGGAGCACTGATGATACTGTGCGCTGCAATGCATGCACTATATCTGATGTCAACTAGAGACCGGTTTGGTTGAAGATTCGCAATGTGAATGTCAGTTGACGGTGGAGGTAGACGTTCGCCTCGACCGTGCAGGGCTTCAAGGAGAGGAAAAAAAAAAAAAACACAAGGAAAGTGCAGCACAGTGAGTTAATAAAGTTTCACAACTATATTTGAATTTTAAGATATAAGTCTTTGCCCCGAAAATTCCTTATCACTGTTTAGTTTTGCTTTCTTATACTCTCAACCAACCTGAAATTCATTTCTGACATTTTGAATGAAAACTGCGAGCCAATATAATTAATAAATATTGGCATACAGAATCTAAAGCATAAATCTTATATCTAAAGTTTACCAGGTTAGTCCATTGGTTTTTCCTAACACCTATGTATATATGAGAATCACAAATATTGTGAGGATAAGACAAAAAAAAATTACCTAATTGTTTTGAGCTATGGTACTCACGTAGAGTGTTGACGAACCCCATGACTGCAAAACGAACCAATTTTTTGTTGTAAAAAAAATTAACTTCAAATTTTCTTTGAAACCATAGGTAATGAAACCAAATTTTTTTATTTCAGTCTCGGTGTGAGCACTGCCAGTTCACTACAGCAAATATAAACGGTAGCCAACGTGGAAGATGAGAGAGAACAATCACCCATATATTAGATAGACAGATGCAGCGAAACGTCTCAATGAGTTTAAAAAAACTTGTCCTAAGTAGACGTCACTGGCACTTGTACACAAACAGGGCTGCCAGAAGTTGTCAGCAAGAATAGTGCTATGTAACAACAACACAGCTAACGCAACGAAAAGAGACTGGTTCTTAAATAAGCGAAAGATACATTGCTAAAATCAGACAAGCTTTCTAGTGCATTCAATAACTTAGAACCACATTAACATACTTCACACAGGCCAGTTCCGCAAAGGTAGGACATGTCCTCACCTAGGAGGGGGAGGTGTCCTGGGTGGGCGGCTGGGGGGAGGTGTTGACCTTGGAGAAGGGCGCTTGCGCATTCTCAAAGATGAGTACTGTGAAATAAAAGCAAGAAAATAAAAAGAAGAAAGAACGAACAAGACCATGAACATTGGTTAATGCCATGCTATCCAAGCAGCCCAAAAGCTTGTCTTCTGAAAGCATAAATGTACGACTGCTTTTTGTAAGCAGCAATGCGATATGATGACCAGGCTGAGTGGCCAGGTTATGTTCTATACAGCAGCAAATTCAGCACCCCATTTTAGGGGGGGTCCTGACTCTTCATATTTAGTAGCACAAAAACCCTGTCAGAGCATAAATACTGTTAATGTGTTCTCACAGTGGTCCTCGTTATTTGTTTTGATTGGTGATAGGAGGTGAACGACAAGCACGGAAGGATGTGGGTGGGGCGCTGACAGATGTTTTTGGAGGGGGGGGGATCACCCTCCCTCTGGATCCGCCACTGGTTTTATGTTGTGGAGTTGAAACCGCACCAACACTTCTTAGCCTGCTGTCTTACTTCTGCTGCATGCTCTCATATCCAAACGGAATGCTTAAGAGAAAGAAATTTGGATTTTAAGTGTGGCTGTCTGGCAATAACCCATTAGCTTGTCAAAACATCTGACAGCGGAGAAAGTATTTATTGAGCATGATGCTTTCAAGGATGGTGAACGCTTAAAAAAGTTGGTCTGACAATATTCATCAGGTGCATAAATTGAAATCGTCTGTGCAATATTGTATGTTTCGCTGTCATAATAGGAGAGATTGAGACTTGCCAAGTCAGCGTTTGCCGAGTGTTGAAATACGCAGGCTTAAAGAACTGTTTCATAGTAGATGCCTCACTTGGAAACTTTTTAAATTGAGCCTACAAATTTCACTGGGTGTGATGCAATGGTGTGGGAGTGATTTTAAACGTTCTTAGCCTGAGTACATTTCTAACTGCCATTTGAATGTTTTTCTTTAGGCAAAAAGAAAATGGGGGGCTATTTTTTTAAACGTTACTTAGCATTGGTAACCAGGCCTATTGGTAACACTTCGAATATATGGCAAACATGATTAAATAGGAGAAAACCTAAGCTAAAGACAGAAACACACAACACTGAGAGACAATGAAACTAAGCAAGACATAGGAGAAGTGAAATGTGGCTCTTGCAGTGCGATTACATAAAAAGTTAATTAGGAACAAAGCTATGCATCGCGCGAGGAGCAACTGATATTGTCCACTCCAGGTCCCTGAAGAATGCACCGATGTTTTGTTCTTCAGCAGTAGCCCATCGCAAATAAAATTTAAAGCGACTGGAAAGGAAATGATTACATTTGAATAACTTGTACAAAATTAAAGCTAAATTTTCGTTTAGAACATAGAAAGATGTAGTGCTTGTATAGAAATTCAAGGAAATGGTACAAACTGAACATTTTTCTGCTGAATTCTAGTATAGGAACTCTGTGCCTATACAACCAATTCAGGCATATTTTAAAAAAAATTTTCAGTACATACGTTGATGCACTCATTTCAAAATATAGTCAGAAGCTTTTATAAGATAAACATGTGCTATTAATGACACTGGCAGCCTTGTACACAACAATGATATCCAATGTAGTTATTTTTACTAACAAACTGAGCGTATACTACCAGTGCGTCAGCAGTTGTGTCAGCAGTTTAGTGAGAACATCTCTAAAGTACCTTCGTGTTCCTTATCTAGATGAAAAAGTTAAAAGTTTAGCGCAGGGCATGGCCTTGCTGTCACACTGCACAGATTACTGCAAAATAGGCTATGCAATGCTACTGCAATCTCTCTCATATCTGGACAGTATTCAAGCTGAGAAGCAAAAGCTAATTTTGAACTGTTTTTGCAGTAATCAACAGAAATTATCCTTGTATACATTAGTGTGTTTCAAATAATTTTAAATGAATCGCACACATTCACTAGGTGTTCCCACAACCACCAGCTGCAGCAGGCCACATCACTTTACTACAACTATTTTAAATTGCAATATAATTTAAATTCAGTGCAGTTAAGACTTGTTACAATCCAGTCACACATACAGCACAAAAATGCCATCATATTCAATATTTACTGTCAGCACATAATTATTAGAAAGGAGGATTTTATATTTAGTTGATAAAATCTAGTACGATTTGTTGCATAAAATTAACAGTACACGTTACTAAAGAAGCTTAACAACGCGTAGGTTAGGTCATGTATGCATGCCACCAAGTGTTAAAATTTAGTGCTACTTACGTGGAACACATTGTACTGCAAAAGACATACACAGACAAGGTTACATCTTAAATTATGATATAGATTAATAAATTTCTGAACTGATTTATCTACACTGTTAGATCTGGATAAGTAAGCTATGAAAGTCCAGTGGTGTTACTTATGTATTTAGCCTCTGTGCCGTACCATAAATAATGAAAAGAACAATGAAAAAAGATATAATGTTGTCAGCTGCACTTAACAGCACACAAAACTTCACAGTATTTGCATCTACCTGATGCCTTAAATGCCTATTAGAAATTGCGAAAACCTCCGAAAAATATTTAATAGTTTGGGTAAAGCAGTGTTCTTTAATAGGAAACACATAGGCCTACTCAAACCTCGATATAACAAACCCAGATATAACGAAATATTGGTTATAACAAAGTAAATTAGAAATAGTCTTGCAATAAATACAGTGTTAGGAATACACCTTTATAACGAATTTTCAGACATAACGAACTTACTTTGCTGTAAGATACAGTTTCGTCATAATCATGTTTGAGCATATTTACATACACTAAATGAAGCAGCGAAATAAACTGCCACTATGCATGTACTATAAACAAAATATATAAGCTAACAAAATATCACCACTTTGGAAAATGCCAACACCACAGAACCCTCTGAATTCAATCAAACGCTATCAGAGCTTGCTGCTTTATCCACTTCCCTACAAAAATGCAGGTTATTTTACTTTCCAATTCATTTTCACGTGTCTTGAAACAACTGAAATTTATTCAATAGCGCTTTATTTGCAAGATACACAACGTTTTAAATTTTTTTTTTATACCGAGCAGAGGATTGGCTTCTTCGCATGCTAGGTATCATGGCTGAATAAGCCCAGATGAAAGCCCAGAAGACTTTTTCCCGTTTTCAAAACTCAAGAAACTCCTAGAAGGTCACCATTTTGATGGTGTTCTCGTGATGCAAAAAGCTGTCACAGAGTCTTTGATAGAGGTCATGCAGCCAAATTTTAGGGATCCCTTGCACCGCAGGAATCGTGTTGGAAGCGGTGAACTGATGCCCGAGAAAACTATTTTAAAAAATTATAATACGTACCGATCGGATCAACAATTAGTCTTTACCAGACCCAGACTCATCAACTTTATGGACAGACCCTGAATGTCTTTGTTATGGCATACTTTTTTTTTTTAATTTTGCAAATATGGAGAGCAAATAGAGACAGTCCTACACAGCATAGCATCAGCATGAAACTGAGCATAAATTAGTTTAGGGGTTCTACTTACACAGATATTCTTCATAAAACCAACAAGATCTAAGACATCCTACAGCTGTCCTCTGCCTAATGAGGCTCACACTATAAGTATCATGACTGATTCAGCTGTGATATTTGGCATGTGAAAAAGCCAGTCCATAGGCAGTCAAGTCAATTCTCTGCTCATTCAAGAAATATTTTTAAAAATAGCGTGTACCTTGCGAATAAACAGCTATTGAACAATATTTTAGTTATTTGAAGACCCATGGAATCGAATAAGAAAGTAAAAAAAATCTATCTTTGTAGGAATAATGATGATGAAAACTTTATTTGATCCAGAGAAAACGCAGCTAGTCTCACGTAAGAACCGCCAAGCGGAGCTTGGCGGCCTGTTAGTGGTTAAAGTAGCAAGCTTTGATAGCCTTTGATTGAATTCAGAGGGCAGTGTAGCGATTGATAGATATGAGGGGTTTAACGTCCCAAAATCACGATACGATTATGAGAGACGTCGTAGTGATGTCCTCCAGAAATTTCGACCACCTGGGGTACTTTAACGTGCACCCAAGGGCGCTGTAGTGTTCGCATTTTTCAAAGTACTGCTATTTTGTTATCTTATATAGGCTTCTCAAAGCCTTTAAATAATAAAAAATACAAGTTTATTGAAAGACGAATGCTAAGAAAAGCATCTGCAGCATCGAAGTAGGCAAGTCTCTTATTCGAAACATCAGTTCCAGCAAGGCCCCATGTTTACGAATGTTTATCTGTAAAACATGTAGCGTGATACGAGCATCAAACGTGTACTTATTTATTAAAAAAATCAACAAATCCATCAGAAAAGAAAGCAAGACAATGAGCACTTGTGCAGTATTGACGAGAGAGCACAAATGGAGCTGGACAGGAAAAAATTCCCACGACATATCATGCGGCTACTTGCGCAATCAGTCATGCAATGACTGACTGTGCAACCACAACATATGTAGAGCCACACACTGTCCTTATCAGTCATTATTATTATTATTATTATTAGTTATTATTATTATTATTATTAGTTTAAGAACTCACGGGAGAACTGCCCCGAGAGAAGTTGCTGTTGGCGTAGATCAGAAGAGCCGTGTCCTTGTGACCCGCTTCCATGGCTATCGTCAATGCTGTGCTTCCGTCCTGTCAACAGAAAGTAAAATTTAAATGTGGAGATTACGCTCCTCGGTAGAAGTGCTCAAGGCGTAAATCGACTCCCACAACTACAAAACAGCGAGAGAGAGAAACATAAGCTTGTAAGGTTAACGAAACGGATGCCGAACGAAACAAATATCATCAATGAATGACTGGCCTCTTTAATTTATCCTTCAGTAGGCAACCAGTAAAGGTTTTGCAAAACTTGAATGAGACAGGTAAAGATAACGAAACACAATTGCCCCTCGAGCTTTAAGATGCGTGAGTGTGCCCCTTTTGCGCCTTATTTTTGTTAAAGGTAAATAAAAAAATGCATGGTCTTCCCTAAATGTAAAAGCAGCATGAAAGAAAAAACTTAAAAACAAGAACGATAACCACGTCATTTCATTTTCGCGGGTATAAGTGAATGAATAAACTTTATTTGAAGTCCGGCAGTTCCCTTCGGGCAAGATGGGGGAAGAGGGGATGAACCCCTGTCCCCTCCCACCCTTCGTCGATGACGATGGCGATGCCTCAGGTGACCGCTCGAAGTCCTTGGACCTGGGCGGCACTTTCGGCTTGCCTGACGGCCCAAAGTTGGTCGGCCAGCTCGTCAATGGTGCATGCCATCTCCCATCGGCAGCAAATCTGGCGCAGCCGATCCGCAGCAGTGACCTATGCAATTGATTTTTTTCCAAACTACTTTTACATTTAAGATAGACCTGCACCAACTTGGTTAACTATCAATTCAAATGCAAGGCCTTTTGCAAACACTCCCAAGTATTATTCATCACATGCACGCAATATAGTACCTAGTTTCATCTTCCTGCAATCATTGTACAATGTGAGGCACAGTGCTTCTCTCACAGCGTGATCCCGTTTCCTACAAACATGCCAGCCAACATGCAAAGCACCCGTTCAGCCAGACAGCGAGGTGCGCGTGGTTGTACTCACATTGTCCGTGAGGCAGACTTCGGTGTCGGGATGCGCAAGCAGAACCCGCACTATTTCTATGTACCCGTGCTCCGCGGCGCACATGAGCGCCGTAGACCCGTCATTGTCCTGCACGTTTGGCTCCGCGCCGGCGTCCAGAAGCAGCTTGATCATCTCTAGCCGTCCGTGACTAGCTGCCAGCATGAGGGCCGTCTGGCCATTCTGCGATGAAAATGCCTCGTGATGAGACTATACAGGACAATAATTGTAACACTGAGGCTTAAAGGGGGGGTACTGACACAAAAATTTGAGGGCCGACAACTTGTAGAATAGATCTGTATGAACACACACACACATCAACAACGACTAGTATAGCCTACAAAATATTTCAAATCAATATTGAAGTTCTCATCATGCAATTTCTGCAAAACGTCCACCTCCCGAAATTGACACCAACACGGCTTCAATACGAACAACCAAGAGCCACTTGTATCACGAGTTGGTGTTGGCTGCCACAATCTTTGCAAGCGCTCTCTCCTAGCCATAGGTCGGTGAACTCACGAGTCCACTCACCTGACTCGGACTCAGATCAAGCCACGAGTCCGAACCTGAGCAAGTCTGGGCGAGTAATATTTTGGCGAGTTTGAGTCCGAGTGAGTCCGGTGTTAGACAATTATCGTGAGTGTGAGGAGTGAGTACGGCTCAGGAAAACTTTGGTGAGTGTGAGATGGAATGAGTCCAAAGTGCAACGTATATTTCTTGAGTGAGCCGGAGTGAGTTGAACTTTTTTTTGCCAACCCAAGGTCCTAGCAGATGTTTTTTGCTGGAAAGAGGGGGCAGACTTGCACTGGAGTACAAAACCTACTGTCCTTGCCTTAGCAGTGCACTTGGGGAGGTGGGGTTCACACATATGTACAACAACCCAGGGGAGATCACAGTGGCATCCGGAGAGCTTTTTAGAAAAAGTTGTCAATGCGGTGTTCATGTGAAGTGTTTTTGTGTGCTCACAAAGCCAGATATGTTTACATGAAAACCAGTCTGGGTCCTGCCTTGCTCGGCACCCTTTGAAACCGGAACTGTGACTGGGCGTTATGAAACAGTCTCTAAATAATTAACACCCATGTGCTGGCACTAACAAGGTTTTCAGGCATGATAAATGGGTCGTCAGCTACTTAACGAAGCAGAAAAAACAGGATGTAATATTTTCGTGTCAGTGCTGCTTTAAATAGACAGTGTTTGTCGAAATGGGTTCTTGCAAAAGTCGAAATTTCAGCAAAAAGACTTGTCTCTGCTAAGGCAATCCCAACATGATAAAGACAACACCTCTCGTCAAAATGTTGGGGCCAGCAACATCAAACGTACATCGCCTGTTTATGATAGGCTAGACTGCAGCACAACTATGGAGTAAAAAAAAAATTGGGGATACTCATATGTAAGCATAGTCTTACAGAGTGTGTTTAGCTGCAGAAAGCATTCCAGATTCTTTCCAGAGGCAAGGTGCTTAAGTTGTGATGTTGTTATGATGGTGGTCTACACAGCAATCCTTTGCACAAGGAGAAGCTCTTTATTAGAAGGCAACAATCTCCGCACTGCCTTGTCTCTAGCACCTGTCTCACCCTCCTTCCCTCTCTCAAACACAAACACACACACAAAAGAAGAAAACTCGCTTACACAAAGGAAACATGTACTTCAGTTGATATTTCACTGAAGTTCCAATGCTTAATGACTAATGCCAATCACTTTTTGAAGCTGGTACGTAATGCTGTTGGATACACAAACAGTACACAAAAAGCAACCAGCACGCTACGTTTCCTGCTTTCTGTGCAATTTCGCTATTTATAACTTTTCCAGAGCTTTTTGCTGCCATTTCATTAATACATATTAGCTTCCATGCGCTGCTTGTCAAATAATGAAGTGTAAAAGACCGAATTCGCACACACCCCCTTCCACCCCTGATCAGACAGCGAGACAATGGCCAACCTTGACCCTGCCCCCAGTGAGCACGTCTGTATTAATAACCGAAAAACTGGTTTAAGAAAAGTACATAGAGTGAATCTCACCTGCATAGCCTTGGTATTGACATCTCCTAGTTGAAACAACCGCTGAACTACAAGGCGATGTGTGTCGTTCTTGATTTCGGCCAGAGAGACCAGCATGATGCAAGTGTACCCTGCCTGAAGAACAAAACACAAGAAAGTGAGTCACAACAAGAGACTACTTAACACCCTATTGTATTGGCCAAAATGCAATGCCGAAAGCTGGCTCGGTTGTGCTTAGAAGTTGTGCTACCTCTTTCACACAGGCTGCCTGAACATACTGGAATGTTAATAATACTAATGAGGAACGATAAGCATTCAATAACACAAAAGTGAACAATATGTGCTAGCTGGGTCTCTCTTGCCAAACCTATTGCAACAGAACACTACAGGAATGCAAGCAAGGTAACATTACATCTTCTCTGCGCTCAACGCAACACATAAAGCGTACTAGCTGGGGTGCTTTGATGGTCCTGCATGTGCAGGTGCATATAAGTGTCACTCTTCGCATCAGAGGTGATTTATAGGCAATATATGTAGCAATATTAATTCGACTTTTAGTACTACATATTGCAAACTGAACACAGTTTTCGAAATTCAGAGCAGTACTTTACTCTGCTGGCATCTGGCTTCCTTGCGTAAGCAATATTGAAGATAATATAATCATGTCCCAAAACCACGACATGATTATGAAGCATGTCATCATGGAGGGCTTGAGAAGTGTCGATGATCTGATGTTCTTCAACATGCACTGATATTGTACAGTACACAGGCCTCTAGCAATTTTTCACCATCAAAATGCGCAATACTGAAGGAGTACAATGTCACATACATCATTTAGTATAGATAGGCAGGCATGACATGGCTATTGTGCAAATCGGATTCACAAACTTTTGTGCAGTTTATGATGAAAGTTCACAAGTAAACCATGCCACTTCTTATCTTCATCATTATTGATACATAACTGACAAGCGAAAAGAAACAGTACAGGCTACTCTGTTATAGCTCATGTTGAACCGACAAACCTTGTTCTGCTTGCTCACATCGCACACTTTGGAGTCGAGAAGAATGCTCACAACGTCGAAGTTGCCGTGAGACACGGCGTAGTGGATGGCCGTGTTACCCTGCAAAATGAGAGGACATTTGTTAAAGCAAAAGCGGCACCGTCGCTGATGCAACTGCGCATACATTCACATCAGCCATGTTCACAATACGGTGAAGCAGGTGACGGGAGAACTCCTCGAAGGTGTCCATGTAGTCTTCTACCATGTTCGGATCTGCGTCAGCAGGACTTGAAATCTGGAACCACTCTTGCTGTATCAAAGATACGGCTGTTTTCTGCAAACAAGAATAACCGTGTCCAAGACAGCACAAGACTTTTTATTTAACATGCCATATTTGCACAATTACGCCCAAACTTAAGCACGGCACCAGGCTGTGCTCCAACATAATAAAAGTTTTTGCATGCACAATACGAAGACACAAACGAAAAATTCACGAAGACCAGCACAGGCTTTTTTTTTAACTTTTCTTTAGAACTTTTCGTTTGTGTCTGTGTTGTGTGTGTGCAAAAATTTCCATTATGCAGCCAAACCAACTAGCCTGCCATTTTGTTTTACTGTACTACAACCTCTATATGTACTGTGGGTGTTGAGCAACATAGAAAGCAATGCGAAAAAAAAAAAAAAAAAGCTGGGCATAGCAGAGGAGGTGTTGGTCCAGAGTACATAGGTTGAGTTTGATGCATCAGATAAAATTTGACGGCACATCATTGCAATGTAATATTCTTGACACAAAAAAATGTGAAAATGAAACACACATTCAGTCAAGCTTCTGAGACAAGATTTCCCAATTACCATATGCTTTCATATGACGGGAAGAATGTTCATTTACAAAAAAACAAAACAAAAAAAACACAGAGATTGACATCACGTACACTTCTCTATGCAGCTGTAGTACACTAAGTAGAGAGAAGAGCATTACAGGTGTATGCTTAAGAAAAGATGCAAGTAAAAATGCAACCATGCGACTATTAAATACGTGGTCCAAGTAAGTAACACTCAAAATCAAAATTCTAAAAAATCATCGTTCAGACAAGCATGACAAACTTCCACAACAACATCCACATATCTTCGTAGGATAAACAGCTTCTGCAAACGAGGTCATGCGAGCGTGCACGAAAGGTTCAAAAGGAATAAGAAACACCAACGAAAGCAGAAATGACAAAATTACAAGGTTGTTCACATACTAGAGGGCTATTCACTCCCTAGAGTGCTATAATTGAAAAAAAAAAAAAGAAAAATGTCAGCTCCCCCAGAGCCTTCAATGTCTCAACCCCTGAGAGAATTTGCATAGGTGCTTCATACACTAGCACTTACTCATATATGTGACATCAATAACTTCTCCAGCATTTCTTATAAACTCAAATCTAATCATAATAAAGTTGCATCATACACAAAAATAACTGTTATATCCAAAAATTCGTTACAAAAGTACTACATTTCTAACACTACAACTATTGGAAGACTAGTATTAGACTTTGTTATAATCAATATTTCATTATATCCACGTTCCCTATATCGAGGTTTGAGCGTACTAGTTGATTTTCCACACAGACATAAGTTTGTGTCACTGCTTTTAGGTCACAAGCTTGAATATCCCGGCAAGTATCATCAGGGATTCCGACAACAGAGTTAAAAATACTTGATGTAGTGACACACCTTTAACTCTTATATATAGCATAGTATTTACATTAGCCGAGAAAATGTACTTCCAGTTTGAGCGACAACAGGTTAGCACAACAGTCGGCAAATAGGAGCTGCGCCATAGCTCTCTAGGTGGAGTTTACCTTCTTTTTTTTTTTAGTTGTAACTGAGTACAGAGGTCCGAAAGCTACTAAAATTAACCTCCCCTCAGAAACATCAGTTTCGCTTGGGAGCCCTTACTTTATGAACAGCTTTATCATGAAATGAACCAGCTAAATGAAGCAGTTATTTTTGCAGGTGGCACAACAGTAACTGATGTAATGTACAGAATGATGCAATGCCTTCTGGAACTGTTCAGTGCTGAAAGAAAGCCATACTTACAAGTTTGTTTGGGTCTCCCCTCTCAGGCTTCATGAGGTAGTCGTTGAGGACCTTGCAAGCCGCCTTCACCTCCTTGCTCGGTTCGTGTCTTCAAAAGCAAAACAAACAAGATTATAAGGAGTTATCAAGTACCGCACCAAAAATCACATGAAGTGACTGTTAGGCAGCGACATTACAGACAAGAAAGAAAGAATTAGATAAGTTTTTTGCCACAGCGTTACACTACTTTATAAATATTTATCTTAAGCCCAGAACCGCTTAAACTGGTATGTGTTCATGAATACATAAACACAGCTATGTAGGTATGTGCACAAGTTGGCAAAATAAATGAAACTCTTTAACTCAAAACATGTTTCTTTTGCGTGGGTCTCGCAAAGACTCAGACCCCCTCTCAGTTCCCCTCTCAGTTCCCCTCTCAGGGGAGCAAAGCTCAGTTCTACTGAACTTTCCTCCCTTGTACTCAGATTCACCTAAGTCCTGTCATACCGGACATCCCTCTTTTTCAAACTCACCAAAAGCTTTACATAGCAGAGACCACCTGGATGCAAAATCACCCATAATTAGCTAGCCGAACATCACTCTGTCTCAGAGCTTTGCCAATATCTCTCTTATACTCAAGTTCATGATAATTTTGCCCAGCCACAGTTTGGATTCGCAGGTCAGTCTAAGTCAGAGCAAGTCGATTTACAAGCCAATGTCTGTACAGGGTTACATAGGCAGATTAGATGCCATTTTTTGTTAAGTTTCCTGCTACGTATGCCTCACAAAAATCCCTTCAATAAAAAAAACATCAACAAGAAGTTTGTAACCTTACTTTTCTGCTCTCTCTGCCATCCTGGCCGGGGGCTCCCTCAACTGCTGCTGACTCATTGCAGTCATCTTCTGATCACTGAGGCTTCCCATGAGAGCACTCCTGTTCTCGGAAGACGGTGGAACCGAAGAGGCACGAGGAGCCGTGGATTTTCTTTGAGTTCGCCCCGACAGCTTTGGGATGCGAGATGACAAGGTAGGAAGGACTGGGTCTAGCACGTTTTTGTCTATGAAGTCCTTGGCAACACTAGTTATTTGGCAGCTGCACTTGTCGCACAGGCGCACGCCTGTAACGGCACCCGGAGACCGTGGCTCTTCCACCGAGGACGTCATTGCCATGCCGACAGACTGTGTCGAGGGCGGCTTCTCCTCGGACGTTGACTTCTCCATACATGCATCGCAGACTGTGCAGTTGACATCGAAATCACCGACACCAATAGTCTCAGTCTGCTTCAACTGGCACTTCTCACAAAGGACATCAGTGACAGAACAATCCCCACTACCCTGCGACACTCTTTCCGCTTGTAATGAAATAGAAACGGCCATGTCTCTACGACTGACGTGGTTTCCGACCGCAACAGATCGCTGTCGGAGGTTCGCGCAACGGTCACAAACAACCCTTCTCACATCCGTGATACCCGTTCCCGTGGAAACCGTGAGTGGTTTTGCTTCGACTGTTGTGACTTGCAGACCGACATGCCTCCTCTCAATGACGTCAGCCTGCAGCATCACGTCACGTTGCCGTATGGGCCCCGGAGAAAACTGAACACCGACATTTCCTTTCAAGACCCTCTGTGTCTGCGCTCCTTGACTTCGTGACCGGCGTGGCCTCTGTGGACTCTCAGGTGGAAGACTTTCAAATGGCTGCAACGTCAAGACCGAGACGCCGACACTAGACGTGAGCACAGCTTCCGTGTTTGTGGAACTGTGACCGAATACTCGCTTGGAACGTTCTTGACAATGCGGGCACGGTCGTGGCTCTGGTTTGACAGAAGTTGGCTCACAGACGTCGAAGGTCAACTGTTCCAGTTTCTTGCGCACGTCTTTGCCTGCTTCAGGATCTGTGGCTGTCTCTCTGCTCTCAAACTGCCTATTTGCCCTCTCGGTGCATTGTGCACAGACATGCAGTTTGGCCCTAGGAATGTGCTTCCAATCTGTGTATTCTTTCTTTGATGAAAAAATTTCCTGGCTGCCTTCGTGCTTCGATATCGGAAGCAGCTCTCCATTGTCACCAACTGCCACTGACTTTGTTGGAACTGAGCACCCAACGCCTACTGTCTTCTGGATGTGAACAGTGGCTAGCTTCGTGCGGTCTAAACTTCGGCTTGGACGCAAAGGCAGAGATTCGGGCAACGGTGCATCTTCTTTCATCACTACAGTCATGGAATGTGTGGAAGTCGTTGGGACACTGGCTTGAACTTTGGCATCTGAAAAGCTCCTTGTCTTTGGCGAAGTCGCTATGCCTTGCTTTTCCAACTTTTGAATGTACTCGTCGAGGGCATCACAACTGGAATCTTTTTTCGTCGGACCTAGAATGTGGTTTTCGCCAACTCCCACAGAACGTTGGCCCAGTTGGTTTGATTTTGTTTTCAACTGCAGCATGAGTAGTCTTTTTTCTTCTTCCAGGAGTGACAACTTCTCCTTATTGCAAGAAAAAAGAAAAGAGCACCAGAAAAGGCAAAAAAAATCAATTTTAAAAGTTTTTTTTTTTTTTTTTTGAAATATAAAGTGTGCCCGAAATATGGCAAAGGGATGTCTAGACCACTTGATGTGGTGGCTGTATATTCAAATACAATGCACTAAACTAGGTACATAACACTTGAGAGTAACCAACACTGCCAGAACAAGCAATGCAGCTGAGGGGCGATATCGTGACAAGGTAATGGCTGAAATATTGCCTATACATGTAACAACAAACATTCCTTGCTTGAGTATTGTTCATACTGCTGACCCCTTCCTGGTTTCCACATACCAGTGAACCCCTTTCTGGCTTGAAATAGATAAAACACTTCAAAGTTTTCCGAAAGTAAAACTGTACAACCAACGCATAGCCCTTTAAAATAAAAGCGCAGCTTTATCCCATTTCAGCAGTTCATGAGATTACCATTAGTGTTGCAGGTTAATCCAGCACCATTGACCAAGCTCAACGCAGCACAAGTGTGAACAGCTTATGTTAATTAGTTTGAACACAGTTGTTAAATCACAGTAAAAAAAGCCTGGAGCTGTACTAGTTGACATGCTCAGCAAAAAAGCTTCAATATTCATGAACACATACTAGTGGCACTCATACCTATCATCAAGACAATGAAACAAATGCTATTAGAAACAGGGAAAGTGAACAGGGAAGATATTTTGCATGTTGGAATGAAAGACAAAACCTCACCTGAGTCACTGTAATAAATGAAAACCTCATTATAACAAGGGTGCATATTACACGAAAATATGTTTGTTATATCAGAAAATTTATTATAAAGGTATATTAATTATTATAGGTATATTAATTAAGGTATATTAATGTATTAAGGTATATTAATATAATCGATTACATATCGATTATGTTGCAGCTTGTGCTAACACAAGACTTTCATTTCTTAGGAGAGTTCTCAAGCACTCCACTCCCACTGTGCGCTTGCTGGCGTACAAATCAACAGTTCTACCCATTCTAGATTATGCAGTCGTTATATGGGATCCTTTTACGTTGACTAATAAAAAGAAGATTGAAAAAATACAAAGAAAGGCAGCCCGTTTTATATACAACAGTTATGGTCGCACATCTGTTAGTGCACTGCTAGCGAGAGCTAATCTTCCACCAATAACTGAAAGAAACCGAATTTCTCGTCTCAAATTTTTTCAACTAATTAAGAAGCACTATAAGATAGACACTAGCAAATTATTGTCTTTCTCCTCTGGGTATCCGACAAAGCATCGCCATAACCTCTCCATTACGCCCTTTCAAACACGCAATAACTGCTTCACGTATTCATTTTTCCCGAGAACAGTCGGGGAATGGAACAACCTAACTAATGACGTTGTTTTACAGCCATCACTTGAAAAGTTTGCCTTGTGTTTAACTGCATAATATATATGTGTGCATATGTGTGTATGTATATGTATGTATATATGTGTATATATTTGAAATTGTGTAGAATTATCACCCGTGTTTTTTCCAATCCTTGCGTATGTGACTCTGTTTCTGGAATATTTATTATCCTGTACATTTTGAATTGTATTTTGTCGCCATGGTTGATCATGTATTCGTGAATTTTGTATATCAGTTTTTCCCTTTCTTTGTAATTCCGAGAACTGTACTTTGCTTCCGTATTTTTGTTCTTGTTCACCTAGGAATATTTATGATTGTACTTCCCACCCTGCTATAATCCCTCATGTGGGATTGCAGTATCTACAAATAAATAAATAAATAAATATTCTAACATTACATCTATTGCAAGACTATTCTTCATTTACTTCGTTATCACCACTATTTTGTTATATGTGGGTTCATTTTATTGAGGTTTGGGTCTAGTATTTACTGCCTTCAAAGGGGCCATTGAACACTTTCTGAAGTAATAATTGATTGGCTTCATTCAAACAGGAGGTTATTAAGGCAAAAGCCTTCAATAGATGCTTCATCGAACACGAAAATTGGTCGTCGACATTTCGAGTCAGCAGCGTCAATATTTGTGATGCAAAAAATCATCGCATAATGAAGTCACCACATGACATCACGACGACACAAATATTCGTGATGTCATTGTGACGTCACATAATGTGACATCACATGATGAATTCCTGACATGACATTGTCGCCTTGCATTGCCTCGTGACCGGTGGGCTCGTCACGAAAGTGGTTCGAAACAATGTGAAGTGCAGAACGCTTTTGGAGGAGGGCAGGGCAGGATCAATACATCAACATAAAAAGAACATAAAAGCCTTTGAGTCATCTTAGTTGAATGAACAAGAGACCTCGCGAGTTTACTGCCTCGTAAATCAACCGCTGCAAAGATTTTTACAATCCGTCAAGTAGGGGCGGAGTTACAGGGACTGATTGCATGTTTCAAGTGCATTCTCGCTCATTTTGTATGAGTGAGTCAGCTGAAAGCAATGCAAAGGGGGGGGGGGGGGGGGGGGGGGTCACAAAACTATGCTTGTCCTTTAGCATGAGTCGTCATGATGAGCACACTCTTTTTTTTTTTCTTAAAACACTGTTTACGTGGCCGTGAGTGAGCAAATCGCGGCATTGCATGATGGCCGTGGTAAGCCAGTCACTGTGCAGCTCACAATGCTCAATTCGGCCAATGACAATGGAATTTTGGGTTTATGGAATCGTTTGTTGAAAGAAGAGCAAGCAATCTGGAGTTAACTTTGAGAATAAATTGTACATTCCAGTCCATTTGCTGCGCTATAATGCTCGATTCACACATGCTCAGACATCTCGACTACCGATCAGAGGCATCTTCTGACCGTGCTGAAAAAGCGCTGCAGGACCCATTTAAGAAAAAAAAAAACACAATAAAGTATCTTTGTAGACCAACTCACCAAAAAATATTTGTTGAGCACACTAAGAATAAACATTCGCAATGTGCAGAAAATAACTGCCGTCTGCACAAAAACATTCTGACGTGATGCAATGTCTTACAGTCCGATGTACTGCAGCTTGATAATTTTCTTGATGTGCATAAAAAGGATAGCAGCGCGAAGACATGTTATAAGACAGACTATTAACAGACAGTTGTTCTAACTGAAATGTTGTGACCTGTAAAATGTTCAAACATTTTCACCATAGCTAGCGGCACTGCATGTAGTATTCAGTCCTGCATAAATTTTCTCTCTCATTGCACAAGATTATTTGAAACACCCAGATTGAACCAACTCATTAATATTCACTTGATGCAATAAAAGTGACCTTATGATATTCATGTCCTTTGTGTTCTATATTGTCTTAATTGAGGTAGGGTGGGTCACTTCAACTGTGAACTTGATGCATGTGGTGATTCAATGCTCACAAATATAACAAATTTTCAGGATCAAGCGTGCTCTGGAGTCCAGTAACGAAATATGGTACTAGCCTCATAACTAAGCCTCGTTACGTGAAAGAGGTTTTAGCACAGTGTAACGTTGGGACAATTGGCACACAGCTTCTCAATCATCCAGATTGATTGATTGATATGTGGGGTTTAACGTCCCAAAACCACTCTATGATTATGAGAGACGCCGTAGTGGAGGGCTCCGGAAATTTAGACCACCTGGGGTTCTTTAACGTGCACCCAAATCTGAGCACACGGGCCTACAACATTTCCGCCTCCATCGGAAATGCAGCCGCCGCAGCCGGGATTCGAACCCGCGCCCTGCGGGTCAGCAGCCGAGTACCTTAGCCACTAGACCACCGCGGCGGGGCTCTCAATCATCCAGAGCTCGAAATTTAGTTGCAGTGTTGCACGAGTCTTCACAAAACACAGCACCTGGAATTGGTATTCCTTAGGACTGTGCGATAGTTTCTGCTGATAGTGCTGTGTGATACTTTGCATACACTGTAGCATCTCTACACGTGCATTTCTGTAAGTATATATCTGTCTGAGTGACGTGGGGCAAATACACTAGTTGAAAGTCTGGTGCCATATCCTGTCCTCTTGATTTTTTTCCCCATTCTTTTGTTAAGCGAAACATATTCTCTAGCTGACAGTACAAATACAGTACAGCTGCTTAATCGTCAAGCATGTACCTGCAGAAGCGGTATGGTCTTGACCTCGTCTTCAAGATGCCTGATTCGGCCAAGACTCGTGGCCATCAGGTCTCTCACGTTGGCTAAGGCTGCGCGGTTTACACCTAGCGGGTTGCTGCCGTCGGCAGGACTCGTTGGGGCCTGCTCCTTGTGCCCCGCGACGGACCGGCCGATGCCCGCAAGGTGGTGGCGCTGGGCCGCCATTGCCGCCCGAAGCCCGGGAAACTGCGAGTACAGGGCACGGTGCTCTTCGAGCAGCGGCCACAGGTCCAGGATGGCGGCCAGACGCCCAGACAGCACGAGAAGCCACACCACCAGGGCCGTGAGCAGGATGCCCATAGCCAGAAGTGCATACATCACTGTCCCTCGACGTTGTGCGCGCAAGAACTAGAGGGAGTTGTTTCAAGCTTACGGCTCACTGCTCACGGCCAGGGTGCATTTGTTTGTTTGTTAGTTTCCTTGAATATATGGCTCATACCCACTCAGGAGGAATCGATTGTTTTCCTCCATGACTCATACCCACTATGGGGAATTTGTTAATAATCTGAGCGAGTTAAAAAAAAGTGGGGTGGCATACACTTGTCAAATGTTGGTACCGCTTATGCTCTATGAAGTATGGCCAATAAGTGATAAATTATCAAAAAAAAAGCTGCAAATATAGAAGATAATCCAGCTAACATGTACTATAATGAAAAAAGTCCATGCAGGTTTTTTTTTTTATACTTGTAATGAATCATTTATAAACAAAGGCACTTACCCACTACTGCAGGTTTACAGAAGAGGCAGTTTTATATATAGGTACAAGCAGGGATGTCACAATAGCAGAATCTTGGAAAAAACTAAATGCCTGAACAATTCAAGGCACTCATTTGCTAGTAAAATTAAACCGGTGTGTGTACGTGGTGTCTTCATACTATCTAAGCATGAAAGGTCCACTCAACCACTCTAGATATGCTCTAGAAAATAGTCATGCCACCTCTCGCACAATTGAAATGCACGGTTTTTCCCTCCTTGACCTGTATATCCTCTCACAGATACGTTTTTTACCTGTATAACCCAGTCACAGACACATGCTCACAGGAACTTCAGGAGTGAATTTCCAGATTTTCAAGCGCGTGCTTACGGTGTACGTCCCCATCTCAAAATTTTACGTTTTAATTACCTCTACTTTATTATAGTTTTCTTCAGCCCTACTTCATCTTTTCATCTGTATATTTCTTATGACCATGCAATAATCTACATGTCCCCTGAAAAATGAGACGAGCGGGCCAAAGACCGTCCAATGCATTTCATTCTTTGTCCTTGATGAAGCAAACTACAGCTACAATAACAAAATATGAGCTCAGTGTATACCTGGTCTTGAGCTCACCCCAAAGCTAGCTTCATAGAATCTCTGTCTATATAAAAGCGACTACAGGGAAGTTTGGAAATATTTAGTGACTTAACAATAACAAATCCAGTGATCCTCATGTTGTAACTGCAAAGGATATCTAATAGACGACATTCGCAGCAGTGATCCATAGGTGACTACTTTGTGATGTGAACAAAGGCATAAGGACTATAAACACGCTCAAAGGGAGCTGTAAGCTTCTAAGAACACTAATAAAATGCAACAGTGCTGCAGCATTACATGTACTAGAAAAGTTAAATCTATTAGTTAAGTTCAAAAGTCAAGGCTCATGCTCCCTTCAGTGCAGTTCACAGCAGAAAGCAAGAAAAAAATAGTTCATTCAGTAAAATGTTATGAAGCAGTTAATTGAAGAGGTTACATAGGATGGACTATGACTATGGTAATAGCACAGCATAGCATGCATGCATGGGAACGGCAATGTCATCTGCCGACTGCTGTGACTAAACTAGCACCAAACATAACTCATTTACACACATATTTGTGCGTGAAAGCAATTTACCTAAACATTCAAAGCAAGAACCTTCCTGAAACTTAAAAAAACAATCAACATCTTCAAACAAACGGTCGTTACACATATGAGACACATCGTAGTGAAAGGCTTCGGGTAGTTTCAACCACCTGGATGGAGTTCTTTACCGTGCATTGAAATCGCCCTGTACATGAGCGTCCTGCGTTTTGCATACGTCGAAATGTGACCACAGCAGCTGGGAGCGAAACGGCCGCCTTTGAATCGGCAGCTAAGCACCGTAATCAGTGGGCCACCACGGCAGCTGTCGTTTAATAATTACCAGGTAATAATTAAAGTACCGAAATGCTGTGTTGCAATTAACATCAGGCATTTGTTAAGTAGCTAAAGCTAGATGGAAGCTGCACAAATCTTGCAATGAAATACATCAACGTATACACAGAGTTTCTCATTTTGCGTCAACGCATGATGCAATAGATTTAAGACTGCTGCAACAATAAATCCAGGCGCCGCCAGTGCACTTACATCGTGAATAGCACTGGATGAGTTGGTTGATAAAGATGATATCGAGCTTGCGGAGCCACTCCTTGAACGAGCTGGACCAAAGACCATGTCCAGTATTTCACTCGCCTTTCGTTGATCGGCGTCTCGCCAATGGGAGGGCGAGGTGTGCACTGTTTCTAAAGAAAGACGGCATGCCACACAATCAGGTGAAGCCCTGACACTATCACAGGAATTGCTAACCAGCAGATGAACAGTGAGCCTTCACAGAATATACCATGTATCTTTACACAAAGGAGAGTTTTTTCTAGGAATATTACTATTAATTAATTCAGGGCTAATTATTTTTAATTAGAACTGTAGTTCTATTATTGAAATTCTATTGATTGTTCTAACTAGAACTGTAATTCTAAAGCCTGTAATAGTTTCTGTCATGAAGAACACTTTTCATCCATGAGATCCAATGTAATTTTCAGCTTTGAGAACTGCCAATTCCTGACCTATGACTGTGATGGTAATCGTTGTGCATTTGATCGGACGAACACCAGAAAAGGACAAAGCAAACCGAAAGAGGGGTCTATCCGTTTACTCTGTCCTTTTCCTGTGTTCGTTCTATCGAACGTGCAACGATTCCTATCACATTTATGCACAAAATCGCCCCAACAAGAATTTCTTCTAAAATACAGACACATGAGGGCTTTGAAAAACATACTGCATGCCTGTTTTCTTCAAAATCTAGTAAATATACAAACAATGGTTTTGAAGAAATACAACAGTGAACTTCCAACTTCCAGCACACAATTTCATTCTGACAGTCACCGTCCAATGAGCTAAATTGTCCAATGCCAGAATCTAATACATCATCACCACCACATTGTTTACGCATAATAAAAATGACATGACCCATTGAGATGCCTACAACTGGTGTTGGCAAATACGCGGATGCTGCCGCACTTCCAGCCCAAGCATTTCTTTACTTCACAGATTGTAAGCTGAGACTGCATTGAGCTTTGCTTCATCAGCAGGCATTATTTGGATCAAGGATAAAATAAAAAATCTATCTAGTAACACTACCCTTCTACAAGCCATTCATATTATTCTTTTCCCAACAAAACCCGTAGTTTCATCGCATAGATCTCGTTAGCATATAAAGTAAGCCTGATCTACGCCGACAATACAACAGAAGAATGACAGCCTCCAGTGTCAATAAGATATTCTACAAAACGATATAGTATCTTCCATGGTGAAAAAGCGTCTACCATTTTTAGAGCCTCATGTTCAAAACAACATGGCACACATGAAGGAAAGCTGCTTATCGAAATTTCTTTCTTACCGGCACCTGGGGATACCGTTGGTGAGTCTGCGTACTTGGGAGCGTTTCGAAGGAGGTCCACTTTTTGCAGCTCCCTTTTGGTCTCGTGCCCATCCTCGATGTGGCCATTGTCCAGGCCTCTTTCATGGCTTCTGAGGACGTCTTCGAAGTTGCGGAAAACTTCGTTCAAGGTATCATCGTTCGATGCAAGCAAGTCAGGTGGGGGTGCACTCAAAAGTTCCTGCAGAATGTGACGCAAGGCCATTGCATTGTGTAAATTTAAGCAGTCCTTGACAGCTTGACATTTGCCTGCTAGACATGCACACAAATGTAACAGGAGATGCAATTAATGGCACACTAAATATAAGAAATGTTTTTTTTGTGTGTGTAAGCAAACTGCTTTTCCACAATACGAAAATCACCATGCTTGCTGTGAGAAGGCACTTGGTAAACGAGAAAGTGCCCAAGGAGAAAATGCGAGTGGTGCTGCCACGTTGATGTTCCCACATCAGACACAGCAACATCATATATTTTGATAGCGTCTACTAAGGCCCGCGTAGTTCTAAATTGGTAAAAATTAGGTACATTGTCTTCTGAGAGAGGCAGAGATTTAACGTAGCGAATTTCGGAGCATTTCGCTGAACTTATGTGACAGAAATTATGAGAGGACACTTTGAAATCAGTGACACTACCATTTGAGATCAAGGCAGAAAACTTAAAACTGAAATATCTGACATTAATATGCTCATCTACAATGAACCTATAGAGGTGAAGTTCTGAGTATAGCTACTGAATGTGTTACCACTCATACAGCCTATGCAATTCATGTGATATGAAACGGTTATAAAATTTAACAAAGAAAAATAAGGAATTGGTCATAGTCTATGTGTGCAGTTGCAAGAGCTGTTTATCACATTCACTGTTCATTAAACCTGTCAGAAGTCACTTAACTTGCAAAAAAAAAAAAAACTTAGTATAGATGTCCAAAAATATGTACACAACTAAGGTGACAAATGAAAATAATCAACCTTACAATTTAGAAATGAAGGTTTTAATGAGGCTATAGCATTTTTCGAAGATAAAGAATTCAGGCAGCTCATTCAACTTGACGTGCCAGTTACAGAGAGGAAATTGCAAATGAAATATGCCTGAGGCTAAACCAGCTATACTACCAGCAAGTTGCATAACTAATGAGCCAGAACCTACCAAAACAAGGGTAAGCAGTAATTGAGAAAAAAATTTGGAATATGCAAAATGAGTAAAAAAAAGTACAAACAAAGAAAAGACTCTAGCAAGGGTGAGCATGTTAGCTACACAATGAAAAGGGGCACAACCTAACTGAAACTGAGATTACGCAAAGAAATGTTTAAAAACTAACCTCAGATTCGCTCTTGGAGCCAAAACAACAACAGAAGATATTTCCATTTTTTTCCTATATTTGTGACATGTGTTAAAGTAAAGCTAGCCCAGGACTCGCCAAATAGTGCACTTCTCAACATGCTTCAACAGGCAATATTGCAGTGAATTTGAGAATGCATAGACACAGATACGGATGATGAAGCAGACCTTTTCAAGTTTCCATATACAATCATACTGTCTGACAATAGTACACCTGACTATAGTACAGCTGTGTATGCCTGTGATGCTTGTTGAAAAGGTTATTGTGAGTGAACCTCAGAGTTAATGAAGAAAAAAGCATTGAAGTCGATGTGTTTGCCCCACAACACTGATAACAAGATGAGCAATTCATAGAAAACGCCCAGACACAAAAGCAGCTCAATAAATGTGTGTCAGATCCGACGCTCAAAATGTCCACAGGCTGCCAACTGTGCTACGAGAGCCAACATAAAACAACATAAAAAAGCAAGAGATTTCAAAAACTTGTCATTGGACAATATGCCTGCGCACCTGCAGACGTATCAATGTTGCACTCAACACTAGAAGCTCAGACTACCTTACCTCGCTACGTTACTGGCCACTATAAGAACAATCTTTCTAATCAACAGTATCCAACAAACGTTATTGAATTACTAATGTTGCTCAGCCATCTGCTTGCCCTATGACGTGATAAGAATAGAAAGAAATTTAAATGGTTTATTTGTATGTGTAACATACTTGCATTATTCTTCAATATGTGGCAAGTGTATACGCAATTAGCTGGCATGGGTGTCGAGCTAAATTGAGCAAGGACCCTTAATCTTATTCCGTACCTTAAAAAAAGTTATGAAACCAAACTTTACCTTTATTAAATCAAATTATTTTTCGTCACTTAATTCCCGCCCACATTTTTTCTACGTCAACACACACACACACGCACACACGTAAGCATGAAAGTAGACATGCTTTCACATAACTGCCTATTCAGAACGAAGATTATGGCACGAAAAAAAAACACAAGAGAAGGACATAGGCTACGTTAAGAATCAACCACCTCGCCTAACAGGTCATTCTGCTGTCTATTCAGCCGACATTTCAACGTAAGCACCGTTTTTTTCAAGGCCTTGAAAAAAACGGGGCTCCCGAACATCGGCTGAATAAACAGTTGTTATGTGAAAGCGCATCTACTTTCATACTTATAGCCTTGCGGCAACTGAAGTTATTCTTCTGCATATAAGCATATATATATATTCAAGAGTTAAAGAAGCGCTGCAACATTTTTTTAAAGCATGGTCAGAAAATTCTGCTGATCGGTAGTCGAAGCTACTGAGAACATGCGAGCCAAATGCAGCACAGCACGCGGCCTGGATTTCGCAATATATTCTCAAAGTCAGCTAAAAGTTGCTTTTTTTTCTCTCGAAAAATAGCTCTACAAACTCAAAAATCAGCTGTCACAGTCATTGTATCAGTCAATTGGTGATTTGAGCATTGAGTGCTCAGTCATTACTGGGGCCGCCGCGGGAGGCCGCGACTTGTCCACGCATGCGTGCGCACTGCAACGTTGCATATTTGAAGAAAACAAAAAGAGAAAAAGTGCTTTAGGTCATATTTTGAGCATGACGTATTTTCTTTGCCCATGGCATCCTTCGCTGCTTAGCTTTCAGCACTTTTGTTGGGACGAGAGAAGGGAGAATGCAATTGCAGCATGCGACAGGTGTTTGAAACTTCAAGACATTTATCTTATTCTAACCTTTGCTGTATTTACTTTCACCTCTGTTTAAACCTGCAAGCAATAATGACATGCAAGTTCTTCCTTTATGCTGAACAATGGAGTATTTTCTATCATCTTTACTAGAATGGTGCATATCATTATGCATTTACCTGGTGAAAAACAAAGCAAATAAAAAAGTTAGCATGTACACCAGACTTACTATAAACACACCCTGCTTAAACTACAAAATTCAAGTTCTATGCAATATATCTTTGATTATTACCAATATTCATATGTATAACTACTTAAATAAAGCTGAGAACCAACTACAGGGTTTAAGCTTCAACACGAACCACAAGGAGAGAACACTTAGTGCTTAATTAAAAGGAGGATACATTCATGTAGCATTTTCAAGGCCACTCCGATGAAAATTTCCAACACTCTCCATGAGAAAGGTGAAGAGATGCTTTAAAGGGCCCCTAAACCACTTCTGATATAATATATATTTTTTTAATGGCCAGTAAACAACCAATGCTTACTTTTGCTATGTGAACATGCTGACACAAGAATTTTGCGAATGCGTGCTATATTAAGGTAGTTACAGGGCTTAGAACAGCTGTTTTAGCGAGCTTGACATATCCTTGCTGCCTCGCCATCCTTTTCCACCATTCAGAGGGGAAGGTGTAGCAGTCATCGTGACTCCACCCACTTTAGCAATGTGAAACGATTTCAGGTATACGACATCAACACTCAGCCGACGGCCAAGCAGGGCTTCCCCCACATCAGCGTGTTTCATAGCGGTGTGGGAAAGTAGCACAGTGCGTGGAGCACCTTTCGCCTAGCGGTAAAGTAGCAAGACACCTCTTCATCTCGAAAGCTCTGGCAATGCCACTTTTTCTCGGTAGTCTCAGGTTCAACGAAACAGCAGAGGGCAGCACCGAAAAATGGAAATGCAGACTATGCGGCCTAAACTGCTGCATCACCACAGGGCCAAGACCTTTTTGTAGGGCAAAGGACCGATCGACGAACTCAGTGGTACATCAAGCAGCAAGTTTTCATCACTCCACGTATGAGGGGGACTAGTCAGTTGAAGGAAGTAAGCGCGGGAATAGTTTTTTTGAAATGGAGAGTCTGCACAGTGTTGTAGTATTCAGAGAATGCGATCACCACGATCTACTGTTAGCATTGGTGAGCTTGTTTGGAGAGTAAAAAAAGAAATGTCGGAGACTGTTTGCTGGCTCTTTAACATTTCAAGCAAATGTGCATATTGAGTTGAGAGTGCTGTCACGATCAACACTGCCCAACGTGGCAACCCTACATGCTGCAGGCATGCCACAAAATAAATAAGTGAATCTGGTGCTTCTCTACGGAGCTTTCAGTACCCCTAGAGTTGGTTGTCACATTATCAGTAGAATCTGGTCATGTCAGCAGCTGAAATTATTTTTCATCTGCCTACAGGTACGCATGCTGCCTGCTTATCTTTCTGTGCAAGGAGGAACACTAGTCCAGGAGGAGTGACAAAAGCCAATCAACAAAGCCGATCGAAAAAAAAAAAAGCAAAACAAGTGAGTGCCGTATTTTGATCATTAATCACCTGCAACTCTACAATTATGGCAGCATTTCGAAAACTTCTTGCGGGCCGTGTTCACAGTAGACTCGTGCACAACTGTTAAATGTTGTAATACCTCCGAAAGCATGCACAGCTCCAACAACACAACTAAATTTTGAATTACGAGATTTTTATGGGCCCTCCAGAACCCGTTCGGATTAGGCAAGAAAGCGACTCAGTGCGACAAGTATCGTAGTTCACCTTTGTGTGGAGTTGTTCTAGTTTCTTTGGAGGAGCAGCAATGATGGCATCCTGCTTGGCCACCTCGTTGTCTAACATCCCAAGATATGCCTGCAGCGATTTCCGTTGCCGCCTCCTCTCCCGACACTGTTGCCGAATTTGGTCCATGTTACTTCTTGCTGCTTGTGCCTGCAAGTAAGTGGATCGCACTCAATCGACCACGTTGCATGTACCGTATCATAATATGATCAAACATTAGGAGATGAACCCAGATGTACAATACAACCTCACTTATTACACGTTTCTCTCCCCAACATTTTCCCACATACGTTTCTGGAGTCCACTGCCAGCAAGAAATCTACAGACACCCATGTTTCAAAATCGCTTTCTTAAATCTTAATCGCTCAACATTTCGGCCTGATACGTAGCGAAATGCTACAGGGCCATCCAAGCGCTTCGGAATGATCTTCCACCAAGGTTTTCTTTAAGCCATTAACTCATGTGTAAATTTTTCTTATGAGAAGAGTAAAATAACAACCGAGTGTTATAAAAGTCGAATTATACAACTAGTGGGTCGTTTAAAGTGTCCGACCTAGTACAAAGGGCTCAGCTGTAATTTCTTATCAACAGCATTCACCCCATCAACAAAGTGCACACAATGCATTACAGATGTGTAGTAGGTACCCCGCTTTGCCACAGAATAACGGTAAATGGCGTAGTGGTAACAGTGGGGTCAGCACTCCCTCAAGTGCTCTCTCTAAGAAAGAAATGAGCTTTTTAAAGGAAACCATATCGCTGCCTACGTAATTCTTGACACACAGTGAACTTGTGCGACACCTGGATACGTTTTCTTTTCGTATTCTGTTTCCTGTCACTGAATTCCCCTCCCATTTTTTTTTTTCCCTTGTACATAAGGCTGTTCATGATCGAAATAAAGTAGTTGTTAGTTTGAACATCACTCTGTGTCGTCCCTCTTTTTTTCCCACACCCTGCAGTGCATCACAAGCATCAAGCATGAATATATGTTTCAGTGCTTGCGAGAGCCCTGCCCACAACTTGTAAGATTTCATAGTGGTATATTGTCATGCTGTTGTGACAGTGAAGAAAGCTGCAGCAAGACTGGGAAATACAAAACTCTCTTTTTGGGTGAAATCGTGCCCAAAAAATAAACAGCTGAAGTAGAAGCTATGCACGCCACACACTGGTAACAGCAAAAACAGTTATCGGCTGTCAAGCATTCTGATAAGTGGTAAGGCGCGTTGGCATTTATACATGTGACACTGAAAGTTTCAGCCTTACCATTGGAGATTGCAATAGATCCAGCTGTACTGTTCATGTTGCGCACTCAAGCTTATAAGAAGAATCTACAACAATCAGGAATGTTTCTAGAAGCCCTGGCACTGCGTGCACAAGGCACTGTTTACACGTGCAATGCATCACTTACATAAAAATAAAAAAAGGAGATCTTGTGGCGATATAACACACATTTGGTCCTCTTTAGGCACCACTGTGTCGCATGTAAATCTTGATTTCTATTAAAAATGCTAATGTCTGCCTCATTAAGTAATGTAGCTTACCACAGGTGTTTAATACCCACATTAAAATACTGTTAATGCAGTTAACATCATTAAAATATGTCAGATTACACTGGCAAAGGGAACTATGCACGTTGACCATAGGAGTCGACAACGCGTTTCACTGATTGGTCATGCTTGCAGTGGTGGGCAGGGTAGGCTTCGGAGTTTCTGTGTTTACGCAGTGCCATCTCCATGAAATAAAATTGGTATTTTAATTAAAACTTTGCAGGAGATTAGAAGAGGCTCCCAACGAGTAGTCTTGCCATCAACAATGCAAGCTTACGTCCACAGCATTGCATGCACCTGCTCCACTACACAAAACATTTCTTTTGATGTCCTGTATACACATGTCAGTCGAACTGGAGATGACAATGTGCAGCGTTAATTACCCTGAGAGAATCACAGAATTGCACAAAGTCGAGGTGTATGTGGTAGCCGTAGGGACAACAGTTGCAGCGTGATCCCTCCCGTGTCTTGAGCTCGGCCATAAGCTGGTCATGCAGCATGCCAGGCGTCCACGTGTGGTAGCCTGAACAAAGAAAAAGAACACTATTTAGTGTTTACTCATTTGATTAGCATGAGCTATTGAGGACAAAAAAAAAAAAACAATTTTGCCTGTGGCATCCTATCACAAAAACATATTCTGTACCATCAAACCTTGAAATAGCAAGCCCGGATGTAATGAAATATTACCAATGATCAAGTAAATAATGAATTGATTGATTGATTGATATGCGGGGTTTAACGTCCCAAAACCACCACACGATTATGAGAGACGCCGTAGTGGAGGGCTCCGGAAATTTCCACCACCTGGGGTTCTTTAACGTGCACCCAAATCTGGGCACACGGGCCTACAACATTTCCGCCTCCATCGGAAGTAAATGATGAATGGTCTTGCAATAGATATAGAGCTATAAACATACCTTATAACGAATTCTTGGATATAAAGAACCCAATTTTATGTGAAATGCAACTTTTAGTATGAGTGTAGTGCCAAAACAAAACCCAATGGTTAGTCTACATTAGACAGCAACAGATATGAAGCTTTGACTACAAAAGACTGTCGCCATCTGGGATCGGTGAAGCCAAACAATGCAACATAATGCAAAAACAGCCGGCAGGGAGCGCTTGTAGTTTCAACTTCAACTACTTTGGTAGTTGAAGTTGGTAATCACCAGCAGAAAGAGGAATTTTGGTAACCACCAGCAGAAAGAGGAATGCCTTCCTGCATTCACAGCTTAAGCTGCGAACTCTGCCTATCGCATGCCTAAAACGCCAACCCTGGCGCTTCTCACCACATATTGCAACGCTTTCGATGAGTGCATATCAAATGCCAGTGTTACTTGCTCGTTTGAGCAAGATACAGCAAATTCAGTGTCCAGGTGTATCTTAACTTCGGCTATCACAAGAGTTAAATCATGATCTTGATCATGAACGGTGCTATGGCTGCAAAACCAGTAGACAGTGTGCAAGCTCCTATGTATATATGTAAAATATACAATCAACTGAACTCCTGGGAGGGCATGGTTTGCTATTGTGTTAGTATACACATTTCTATGAAGGAGTGATCAAGCATGCTTTCGTCAGTAGTGCCTACCCTTGATTATGTCATCTTATCCTCTGCTGCAGTCAACTATATTCCATTTTCCTTGGTATCCACAGTCTTCTCAATTGGTTAGGTGCAGCCCACCTCCTCCCAGGTTTATTCTTTCAGTGGCAAATACCTCTCACATGGAAACAGTTTACACTGACCTGCCATTGGAGATATGTGCCAACTGGTGCTGCTGACCTTTATGGGATCCGTTCTGCTTTGCAACGCCACTGTACAAATGCCTTCACCAAGGCATAACCTTGTGCACATAACTCGGACTGTTTTTAAACACTGCTGTGCATATCGTGTTGCAACATTGGTATGTTTCACTGCAGTAAGCAAGAAAATACCCACCCATTTTGACTTTAGAGCGCCTGGGCCTTTGCCTTCCGCTGGTGTTGCGTTGCGGCGCCTTAAGTTCCCAGTCTGTCGGAGTGGAGCTGGATGACCGCAGACTTTCGAGCCTTTCTCGGAGCTCGGACTGGGTAGGAGCTGCATAACAGAAACCGGATTAAAGGCAAATGCCTATTTTGTTTCTTGCGTTCCTATAGCACCACTTTGACGTGTGAGCACAAATTAGAGGTTAAGAAGAGCTTTTATTGCATTTTTATAGTGCCTATAAATGCCTATTTTGGACGTTTGTGCCTGAATTCCTATAAGTGCCTATAAATACCTATTTTTGAGATCGGTGCCTACATGAACGCTATTTAACCTCAGATTTAGTTAGATACCTGTATTCATGTTCCAGGCAAAAGTGAGCTTTTGGAACTCTGTGGGATGCAGCCTATACTTCATTTCATAAGTTCCTGTCAGCATTGTCAATGCTACAAGGCCTCTTAGCCAATAGGAAGGCTGATTAGCCTCTACACAACTATTCATCCGCGTCGCGCTGTCTGCTCGGCATCTCCTCGGCGTCTGCTACCACGCGTAGGGACCAGGATATGCTTCTGTGCTACCGTAGGACGATGGAGAACGAATGCGAAATCGTGGAGTGTCATCAGGGTAAAGTACAGTTTAGATATAAAGAAAGAGGTGTCCACGTGGTTTTTGTTTTGTTTGTGATTTAATTCTTAAAGGGTTATTCACTAGGTCACATGAAAAATTTTACTTGCACACCGTAAGTTGTTGCGTACCAAAATGAAGAGCTCTGCACCACTATAATTTTTTAATTGGTTCATTACAAGCCCCCGAAAGCATGATGCGAGGAGGTGAGCTTTAAACCTTCGCCACTCGCCAGGTGATACCTTGCAAGCCAAATTCTTTGCTGCCCTCTTCGGTATAGGAGCAACTCAGAACCGGAAAATCACATGACATAGACGTATCAACACACCATGCGTAGGCTAGATTACATTCGCATGATATGCCCATGCCAAGTCGTGAACAGAAACGGTGTTGTGTCATTTTGACATTTCCTGTATTGTACAGCATGTTTCTGAGGAGTGGACCCGTATAAGCGTGCATGTATTGAGAGCCTAGCATGGACCGTATATCCTTATCACGATACACTGGAACTGCTCTAAGGGACGATGCACCAAAAACACACCAAGCATTGTGAATGCTGGCACCGGCACGATGCGAGGACGACGAGAACTTTAACGCGAATGAAATAGGGGCAGCTTAGTGTTGAATCTCGCTCGTTACGAAGAAAAAAAAGTAACGCTCAGATTCCATTTGTACATTTTAATATTTTTGTCAACCTTCATACATCTATTTAGGCAATAGACTGCACAAATTACACGTGTCACCTTGAATAATTCTCGCAGTGCCACATACTACTTTGAAGTACACCGGACTGTTCATTGTTGTATGCGTTACCTCCACTATGTTGGGGCAAGCGCCCATGACATGAAAGTCAAGTGGCGTTCAGTATGACACTTCACCTCTTTCCGGGGTTTGTATTATTGCAAGTCTTGGCAGATGAAATCGTGAGCGCCTAGTGCCTGAATTCCTCTTGCATGCTTGAAATCTCAAATCTGGCAAAGAGCCCTTTAAGGTGTTCACAGACTGAAGAGAAATTGACCTTGCGCTGTTTGACCAAGTTAACATGAGGCAAAACGACCCTTCTGGCCTATTGGCACCGTGGCTTTTTGCCCCTGTGTTGCTCTTCTCAGTCATGCTGAAAGAAAGATACCCAGGAGCGTGTTTATTCGACGGTGGACACTTAACTCACCATAATTTATTGATATCTGGGGTTTAACGTCCCAAAATCACCTTATGATTATGAGAGACGGCATAGTGGAGGGCTCTGGAAATTTCGACCACCTGGGGTTCTTTAACGTGCAACCAAATCTGGGCACACGGGCGTAAAGCATTTCCGCCTCCATCGAAAATGCAGCCGCCACAGCCGGGGTTCGATCCCGCAACCTGCGGGTCAGCAGCCGAGTGCCTTAGCCACTAGACCACCACGGTGGGGCACTTAACTCGCCATGCTGGACTAGAAAAAGAAGTACCGTATTCTGCAAATTCTGCGAGAAAAAAAAATTGGTGGATATGGTAAATTATCAGCGCATTTGTAACATCATAAGCTAAAAGATTTCTGTTTGCCTTCTTGTCGTAGACACAGATTCAACAGGCATTTCGAAAATTTGAATTTTGCCAAAGTTTATTGTACCTATATTTATGATTCCTGGGGCCTAAAATAATGTTTTACCTGCCTATTTTTGGCACCTAAAAACCGTTTTTTTAGTGCCTATAAATCCGGCCTCCAGTAATGACCATCATAAGCACATGAAGACAAAAGCCTTCAATCATTTGCCTTTGTACACTTACATACAAACACACATGCACATGCACAGACGTAGTTAAAAAAAATGTGTTTTTAAACGCTTGAGTTGGTGTGTTATGCAAAAAAAATTCTAAGAATTCCAAAAGACAGCAGTTGTTTTCTGTCTTCTTTTTTTCCCTTTCTTCCTTGTGCTTTTTGTTAACGTTTCAGCAACATTATTGAGCTGGTTCAAGATGGTTTGTTCAAATCTTGAGCAATCAGAGTTTAGATTTGCCTTCAGCATGATAATGACTACTTGATGCATGAGCACCTGATGCCTACTTTAAGACTAGTTTGTGCCAACCACCACGTGAAACTTTAAATTTACCTTTATAATTCCCATCATGAACATGCCCCTCTTCCCACTCTACACATGCAACCAATATGAAACTTGTGCACTACGACACAATTTAAGAACTCTGGCACTATGCTCTAATGTAATGTGGCGCTTCCCCCAGCATGGCAGAATGAGGTCAGCAGGGAATTGCGAGAAAATCTGGCAGAGAAACTTACCATACATTGTGGACGTGGTGCTTCTTTACTGGAGACATGCAGCTTAGATCCTGCATTAGATAGAAAAAGAAAAAAGTTGTTACTAGAGCAGTGACAGGACACACGAGTTTACTAACGAAACCTAGATGTTATGGTAGATTTGTACAGTATAGCATGGATGCATAGAATATGAGAGAAACAATGGCGCAGCCGAATTTTTTTTTTTTTCGTGGAGGAAGGGTCAACCATACTTTATGCATGTGTATGCACGTGCTTGTATGCGTATGTGCGTAATTACCAGGCATGCCGGGGTCCCCACGCAGCGTGTTGGGAGTATCCAGGCAGAGTAAGCTTCACCACGGGGGGGGGGGGGGGGGGGGGGGGGGGCGTCACAGCCCTTAGAAGCCCGCCTGTACCCTGTTTAGCTACCGATGGGTGGCCGGCCGGCACTGGGGATCGAACCCCGCACCTCCCGTAGCTGAAGCGGACGCGTACGTACAATGCCACAGCTACGGTAATTACCAGACATGCAATACTGGAAAACTTAAGCATGGTGTTTGAACACCTAGCAACCCCCACCCCCACCTTGGCTGCACCAGAAGAAGCAACACTACCTTTCTGCACTAATAACATGTCTCTTAGCATTCTTGGCCCGGGGCGCAGCCCGGGAGTAGCACACCAAGCACGTGCCCCCCCCCCACCCCCCCACCGTTCCCTGAAAATTTTTTCGCCATAGCATAGGAAGTGAAAAATGTCTATTTTAAGGTGTTGTATGCTCCTCCCAAAGTCGTTGTATAAGTATCACTATTTGTGCCAGTGCCTGTGGTTGGCCCGAGTCACTGCGTAGTGCCTCTTCGCGATTCGCATTACAATGACGTATTAAAGACGACGTTTCGGCTCAGGTCCCGTGACTGCCGCAAGTGACGGCGACCACGAGTTTTGGCAACACGCTGCGCGCAAGTAAGAACCTCGGTGCATTCTAGTACAATGTCTGTAGAAGGGTGCACGTGGAAGCACGCGTCACGCGACTTCTAACAAGATCACGTGGTGTCACAATTCCGCCGCCAAATTTGAAATGCGCGTGGTTGCACCTCATTGGCCAACGCGAGACAAGTGAGGCGCGTGCATCGAAGAACACCGAAATCGTGATGCCACCACTGCATATACAGATGACAAAGCTACAAAGCTTACTTGGCGCAACCGTGCGAACCTGGAAGGCGATCCTGGCATGGACTTTGGGAGACCGGCCAAGGGATGCATATGCACCTGACAACCACACATTGTTTTCACGGGAACCAGAAATTTCCCGCTTGATCTGTGGCATTCGCAACAGATAAAGGGTCGAATCACTACGGTCGTCTGCCTACGGCAACCTAAAAACGCCGTTGCGCACCAAGTGAATGCACCACTTCATGGCGCCGCCGTTCTGTGCACGCGCGTAGACGACCGCCAAAACCACCGGCGCCGTCGATCCGCACAAAGCACGGCTCCGGGATGTGGCTTTCTACACAGGCACATTCCCCGCGGGAAACAGCTATTAAACATTCCCGCCCCCTCTTCGTACGACCCCGCGAAACAACTCATTCAAGCCGACGGTTCCTCAGGGTGTCACAGACGAGCGGCCCACGAGCGCCGTTCAAGGGCGGCCCACGTGAGGCCGCAGCAACGAGTGACGACACCTCCCGCAACGAAGGCGTGCCTTTACTCATTGGGAGGCGTCTTATATAGGCCTAGAATGAGCGGCAGTTGCTGACTTATAATATTTCGTTACCTATGCAGGTGAGAAGCGTAACCGGTGAACAGTAAAATTTAGCGCACCCTTCACGTATGGCCGCGCCAGTATGGTTATATAGCGTGTGATATCCCAGTTGCGGAGTCTCTTTTGTTGTCGTTAAACCATACTGGGTTGGTCCTACGCCACCTCCTGACGCCGGTCCCCGACGACGACAGCGTAGCTCTGGCCGACTGGATTAGTCCTACGCCACCTCCTGTTGCCGACAAGAGGTCTCACCAGTGGTGCCCCATCCTCGGATTCCCGCGACCGTGTTTCATCTTTTCTATCTTCTCTTTCATTCCGTCGTTGCTCGCTGTCCCTGCGCATATCTCTCTCTATATATAAATATACCTTTAATCCTATCCTATTAATCCCTCCTTACCCCCATCCCTTGTGAGCTACTGTTGAGGTGTCACACCAGATGCAGACAGTTACGGGGCTCACTTTTCTCTTCATTTCCCTTTTATAACCACCTAAATTAAACCATGTCCATTAAGTCTCCGTTCAATGCGAAAGCCCGAGATGCCTCATCAAACGCGACAAGTGCACGATCGGCCTCAACATTAATGGCACAAAATGGTAAAACACTACAGAGTGAAGTGAGAATTTAAGTGAGAGCAATCGAATAAATATAACGTCGAAATGGCTCGGACATAACAGATTTCGACGCTGCTATACGTCCAACAACAAATAAGTTGGGCCGAGCCTGCGCAGCGGTGGATAGGAAACTTGAACGCAAAGAAGAAGAAAAAAGGGGGTGGAGTGAATGTGAGGTTATACTCATCGAGATACGCAAGTTGAATGTGGAAAGGGTACGGCATATCTCATCCCCTAGTTATGCGGTATATCGGGCAAACCGGGAGGTGTTTAAATAACCGTCTAATGAATCACAGGGCATTGCTGAAGGCCCGCCCTTCGTCGAATCTGTGCCCACATTGCAGAGATTGCAAGTGTCACCCTTTTACTTAGCGAATCGAAGGTATTGTCCCGGAACAGAGATAGGACAGCGAGATACGTTGCCGAGTCTTTTTATATCCACAAGTACGGCTACACGCGTGTCACGAGGCCTTCGGTTGCACTGCACCAACTAGAGACAGATTATCTAACTGTCAACCTCTAACCTTTTACATTTCTTGCTATTTATATTTGTGTTTTCTTCAATAAACTTCCAGTTGCTAGTCTGCGCTTGTGCGTGTGCCTTCCGTGTTCTTGTCTCTTTTTCGCGCAGTTTTTGAAGTCATCGAGCCTGTCTAACGCCAGTCTGCAACGGTGTTCCAAGCATCGGCGTGGTTCATTGGGAAGATACTGGGCCGGCACGCAGGGGACCCGAATTCGTATTCCATTGGGTCCTTAGTGTTTTATTTGCTAAGCTTGCTTTTTTTTTTTATTTCGTGTGATAGTTGGTACGGCCCCCGGCGGTGGCGAACAACTAGTACGGCGCCGATTGCGATGGTTGTTGTGATCTGACAATGACATTCACTGCAAAAAGCTGGATAGTAGAGTGGCTGTGAGCCATTCGTTTAGGCCATAATCATCATCATCTTCTTCATAATGATAACTTTCGGTGCCCATCATTCCGGTTTTCCCACTGACAGCATACATCTCCGTTGCACGATTCCGCACGCTAACATTCAAAAACTGCATATCACACCCTGTCTTGACAGCTTCTCCAGAATATAAGCACCTATAATATTTTCTTTGAACAGTGAGTTATCACGGTCGAGAATAATAGAAGTGGCTATAACCAAACTTCGCTGCCCGGTTAAAACTTTTATGTGCATCGAGCAAATCAAGCGCTTTTTCCTCTGTCTCTTCAGTAAGGAGGAGGAAACAATCAGTCATTACTTTCTACCCGTCACCGATACACGTCAGCGAGCAGAAGATTAATAGCATCACCGTTTCAAAACTTGGGTCTGGAAATATCCGAATCAGTTGTTCTTTCTCTTGGCGCTTCTACTCTGGGCTACAGTCACTGGGATGTTCACTACAACATATATAGAGGAGTTTATCAGTCAGACTAAAATATATATATATATATATATATATATATATATATATATATATATATATATATAAAGCTAAATTTGTCACCCGTTTAAAAATTCCAACGCTATTATTCCCTAATTAAATTTGTTGTATTAACTATTGCTAGCTTGCATGATAAGTATTGCGAAGAAACACTTAAAAAATTTCACCTAACACTTCTCCTCGAGCCATGAGAAGAGGCGAAGAAGAACTTTTGTTAGCGACTAATGCGGCTTCTCCGAGCTTAAACAGTCCCACTGTTAAAATCATCGCGTGACGCCACATGAACTCCCAACAGCAAAAGTTTGTGGGACGTGAAATGTTCAATAAAGCTATACATTCCCGCTTTGTCTGGGAATGTAATTTCGAAAGAAATGTCTTATAGTGCATTTGGCATTCCGACCTATAAATTTGTTGTGGATCTAACGACCCGCAAAATTTTGCTGTCGATATATAGTACGTCATAGATTGATTACCGAAATTCGTGACGTGTCATAACGTGACGCCAAACGATGACGACATCGCACGACGTATAGTCGCTCGGTGAAACGCGAGCCGATCCCAGAGACGCTGCAAAACCACTTGATGTGCCGAAATTTTCGGGGGTGGGGGTGATCAATACAATCGACTAAGAGAAGAGAAAGCTTCAAGTCACCTTACTTAAACGTATAAGACACCAAGTGACTTTTTTCCTGGTAGCTTTGTCCTATATTATAAGAAAGTTCACGTGCTACGTGACGCCAAACATGCGCATAAGAGTGTTTTCACACTCGTTGTTTGGCTTATAGATGGCGCTGACTGTCGCTCCTACTTCTAAATTCACAGATAAACCCAAAAAAGTGGATGGAGGGAGGGCCGCTGTGATAGCTCAGTGGTTAGAGCATCGAACGCGTAATTCGAAGGTCGTAGGTTCGATTCCTGCTCACAGTTGGTAATTTTTTCATCCACTTTTTTTTCTTCTTATTTACATTCCATTGGTTTTAATAACTTCCCCTGTACATTCCTTGGCCTTACTGTCTGTTATATCTCATTAATATTGTGTTAAAACACGGAAAAACGAGCCCTTAGGTATACACTTCTTTCCCTTATATATATATATATATATATATATATATATATATATATATATATATATATATATATATATATATATATATATATATAGACCGGAGGTCTTACCCACAGTAAATCACAGTTATCCGCTAGAAGAGATGTACACCTCAAACGCCGTGAACATATGACATAACAAAAGGCGCGAAAGAGACTATGGAA